AGAGTAATAGTTTGCACCCTTCCATAGAGCATCACATCCTTGAAATGCTCGTAGCTCTTAGGAATAGAGTTTAGCAACAGTAGTGTCTTGTCCTCATCGTCCATCTTGACGTCGATGTTCTCGAGGTCGTCGATGATCTTGTTGAACTCGTCGATCTGCTCTGAGACAGATTTGTCTCCATGCATTTTGAAGGAGTATAAGCCCTGCTTCAGAAAGAGCCTATTAGCAGAGACTTTGTCAGGTAGAGTATCTCGAGTTTGGCCCAAAGTGCTTAAGCTGTTGTCTCCCTCGACACCTCCCTCAGAACTTTGTCGCCCAAGCTCAGGATTATCAAACTGTGGGCCTTGTCCAGTATGTTGATCTTCTCCTTCTCGGTCATTTCGGCCGACAATGCCGCCGACCTTTGCAATTCTTCCCATTGAATTTCTCAATGTCGAATTTGACGGAACTCATTGTCGTGGTTAGGATTTCTTCCAAATGAATTTTCCCTGCTTCACCCCGTGAACTTCAGTGCCTTCGTCAACCGAACCAGAGAGCTCTGATCCCTTCTGGCAGAGATCACACCTGTTCACCGGAGAAAACTTCCTGTTCTGTGCTCGCGCCTCCTTCCCGCAGACACTCCTCTGCGTCTAGCGGAACAAATCAAGAATTCCTCCTCTGCCTCTCACACGAGAAAACCTGCCTCTCCAGAGCCGCCGCGCCTCGCCAAACTGCTCAGATCCTCCTGCTTCACGAACTCCCGAGCAGGCCCCGAGCAGGAAATTCCCCGACCCATTCTCTGCGCGATCTCCGCCTCTTCCCTCTGGCTGAGCTACTCGAAAGTCCGAAATCCTCTGCTGGCAGCCCTGTCGCAAATTTTCGGCCCTCGCTCGATGACTGTTCCTCCTCCGTCTCGCCGAACCGCACAACCTGCGGTGCGAATCCAGTCGATCAAAGCTTCCACTGCTCACCGAATCTGACGCGATTTGGCTGCCTGCGATGCGATCCGTTTGCTCCTCTGTTCGTGAATGTCAAGCTCCTCTTCTTCGTCGTTGGACGCGAACACCTTTACGCGAACACATCTAGCCAAGAAGTATGAATCTTCCCACAGACGGCGCCAATTGTTGTGAGATATGTACTTCTTGGCATAGAGATGAGACGAAAAAGAACACAAGCAAACACAGATCGTTTACGTGGTTCGATCCAACTGGATCTACGTCCACGAAAGGGAATCAATCAAATAGTTCACTAAGGCAAAAGAAATGGAGAATACATAGCTTATACATAGAGATGAGCCCTCATCTTCCTTCTACGGCCTCCCTCTCAAGCGACACCTTGATACAAGGCCTCAAGATGCTCTCCTCCTCTCTAGCTCTCTAGCTATTCTCTCCTCCTTCGTGGTAGCTTAAGATCTCTTCCCTTGCCTCTCCTAAGTCTCACACCCTTAAGATCTCTTCTCTTGCTCTCCTAGGCCTCACACCCTCTCTATTTATAGAAGCAAGAGAGTGGTAGATGGGAGGTAAGTAAGCGGTAGGTGAACGGTATGTGAGATGTGGTAGGTGAGCGGTACCACATTACAAAAGTGTTCTTTTACCTTAGTTCATTAATTGAGGGTCAAAATAAAAGAGTAATCATCTAACAAGATCTTAAAGAAACTATTAAGTATGACCATGAGAGAATCAATAGAATCGGGCCAAAGGGACGAAGCCATTGCAGCTTTTGTTAAACCAGTTGTGAGTTCAATGCCAACGCTTCAGGATTTTCTCATTTCGCTAATAGGGGAATATGGTAGAACCACTGAAAAAAAGCTATGCTAACCAACACAAAATGATCTAAAACTGTAGCAGTAAGGCAGTTAGAGATCATAGGAGTGCAAGGAGATGAATATATATATTGCCGAAATAGTTATCGCCGCCCTGGCCTTGATGCCAACTTAAATAAAACCATGAATCTCAAAGGGAAGATTTAAAGATAGATAAGGTTGCAACTAAAGTTTTAAACTGAGGCATAAGCCAAAAACTATCTTAAAGAAGTTATATGCATGCAATTGAAATTTTTTAACAAGGAATATCAAGTAAGAAAATAACTGGTCAAACGACATAATTTCCGTTGCCTTCTAGTAAGAAATCGAGGACTTGGATCTCTAACAAGAATAATATATTATAACACGAAAAATAGTATTTGTAAATCTTTCAACAAACCTTGAATGAAACTAAACTCAACAACCAATTTTTCCAAGTAGGCAGCCCTTATTACAGTTTTTTCTATATTCCCTATATCCATTTATAAATGTAGAATCATTTTTCAGAGCAATCAGCATAAAAAATATTACAGTCTAATTCGTGTTCAAATGTTTGAATCACTAACAAAACTGAAATTATTAAAAGAAATTACTATTGATAAACCTTTCATCAAATTATGAGAGAATCTAAACAAAATGGGATGTTTATAAGAGCAGCACTAGCTCAAAAGCTTTTACATCATACTTATGAAAGGCAACCATCTCAAAGCAATGACTGTAAAGCTTTACAGTGATCTCAAGTATAAGAAAATCATGTACCTCCACATGCATCTCAAAAGCCTCAAAAGTGTTGCACTAACACCACAAAAAATTTAGCTGGATATAACAAAAAGAATTTATTCAATCCTACAACCCAGATCTTCTAAACCAGTGAAATGAACAAATGAAGTTTCTGAATTTTTTATGGGGCTCTCTTATACTAATAATTTACTTACCATGTAGAAATTCAACCAAGATTCCTACATTTCGTATCCCATAGCCTAACTCTAACTTACCATACATAAAATAATGAAGGTATCAGCATGGTACCAAGACCTAACATTCTTCTGCATATAAGAAGATTTTGCTAGTTAGACAAACAAACATGAAGCAATTCCTGTTACCCTAATGGCCTCTTCTTTAGTCATTTTTGTTCCAACTATTAAAAACTAATGAAAATTCATTAAATCTCAGAATACCGAAGTATTACAAAACATTATAGGCATATTTCTCAAATCTTTAGCATCCCCATTTTAAAATACCCAGGAATTTCATTTGGTAATGGTGATCAACCAATTATCAGTAACTTTTCAGTTAAAGAATGTGCACTTCCAGCTCGTTTGAGCACACATACACTCTGATATGCCCACATGGATACCCCCATCTCACTGTGTGCGTGTGAATACTTGTGATATATAGACAAAGGCAAAAAAATTCTGGGGCAAAAAATTAAATCATACCAAATGTATATGTGACTGGTTTTCTGTCACGCAGGGACCTTCCAGAAGAAATCCCATCAGCAATCACAAAGCTATCGAGAAGGAGAGCTTGTCTATGTTGCTTCTTCAACAATCGATCTTTTCTCTGTAATTAACCAATATAGAAGCTTCTTCAGTTTTCTATGTATTGTATTGAATTAAAAACATGTACCATAAATAACAAAGGAGTACCATGCCATTCATACATAAATGGGAATATATTATATATATATATATATATGATGCAGTACCTTCTGAATTTTGTCAACCTCTGGCAGAATATCTATTTTTAACTTCTTTGCCAGTGAAACTTCAGTCCTATTCCTGCTTTCAAGAAGTTTGTCCTAGAAAACATAAGACAAAGAAGCTTCATAAGCATTCGGAGGGAAAAAAGGCATGTTGGAGTATAAAGGAGCCAAAATCAAATTTTGCATTTTATATATTGACCTGGATATGCCCAGATGTAAATTGCAAATTAATTTCAATTAATGCAATGCCAAACCAATGCAAAAAAACTTAAAAGAGATAGAAAAGCTTGACTCCATGATGTCAATATAACACCAACTAGTAAATAAGAACATTAAGAGTTAATGCATTATCTATACTAAACAGCTCCAGTAATTGAAGTCTCTAAATCACTCCAAATGGTCTCTATTTCATATTTCATCAGATCAGAAGTATTAATTAAGTTAACTAACATAAACTTTTCATAAATGTAATTATACCTAAAGGTAAACTATAAAACATTATCATGGTATAGAAGTCAAATATAATATTTATAATCTCTTACAACACAGAAAAGAATATTGATGAGGTAATTTAATTAAGTGAGATTGTATATCAGTGTAAACCTAAAAGGATGAAACTTAATATTTTTTAAATCTTTAAAATAAAACTAAAATATTGGTCTAATATGAATGGTGGGGGTCATTTAATATTTGTAAACTCTTATAATACATAAATTACAGATGCAGTTATGAACCAATGAAGTAAAATTCTATATAACTTTACAATTCGAAGTGTAAAGTAAAGCATGTTTACAGCTGTGGTGCAGTAATTTAATAAAGCAAATATCAGAGACATTAAGGTTCCCAACAACATAGCCGCAGCCAAGAACTCAACAATGCTCGCTAAGGCCAATTGAACTGAAATATTATAATAATTCACGTTACAATATATATCACAATTTAATTAAGGGACTCTAAAGTAAAGCAGTTGATAGTTGGTAGCATAAGTAATTTAGAACTCCAAGATAAAGGACCTCTGGAATTCCAATATTTTTTGTTAATAGAGGTGACTCGGTCTAAAGAGAAAATCCTCATATCCTAAAAGAAGCTCATCTTAAACCTGCTAAGCGAAACTAAATCTACTGACACGCCTATAAATTCCAACAAAAAGTTGAACATAAGTGATTAAGGGTCTGTTTGGGGCAGCTGCAGTTTATCCAGCTTCTGCTGATAAGCAGCTTATCCTGATAATCTACAAATGAGCAGTTGATCCGAATAAGTTGGTTGACTGTTTGGTTTTTGCATTTGGAAAATAGTTGATTCTGGATAAATGACCATTCTGCCCCTGTTCTGGATAAGTTGTTTAGTTGTTTAGTATGTGTGTTTGAAAAACAGCTTATCTGTAACTTTTTGTAGATAATTTAAAAAAAAATTTAAATTATCTGTAATGTAAATTGTAATCAATAATCTACATTTTACTCTAATTTTAAAATAATTTAATTTAAATTTAAGAAGAAAGTAAACTCAAACAGAAGAAAATGTATTTACATATCTACGACATATTTTAAACTTAGATATTCTATTATTTTTGTCATAAAATTTCATATAATACTAAAATCTATGGGCTTTGTTGTGAGAGCCAGAGTATTTAATATCTTAAACTAAAGTTTTCTGGAAATTAACTGAAGATTATAATAAAGCAAAAAGATAGAAGCTAAATTAGGAATTTTAGGCAACATATGGAGAACTAACATGAGAAAAAAAATTAACTGGGCTTAAAAAAATTATCGCCTAATCACACACACACAAATGGAGACAAAGCGAGAGATAGACAGAGAGATTCATGGAAAGAAAACACTAGAACGTAAATAGACAGAGAGATTCACATCCTTTTCCTCCCTTCCCCTCTTCTTGCTTCTCTTCTTCTGTGACACCTGCTCCGCACCTGGCGTTCACTCTTCCTCCGGCGGACCCTCCTCCTGGCCAGAGGCGGAAGACAGATCCTTGCTAGCATCGTGGTCAGGTGATGACGTAGGGTCCCAGAAAAACCCCAGCAAGCTTCGTCTCGACGAGGTGCAGAAAAGAAAACCCTAAAATGGAAAGTGGGGGAGATTCCTCCGGCTGAGTGTCGCCTGAATCCGAGCACAGAATCGAACGAGCGCGTGAGGAAGAGGAAGCGAGTGCAGGTACTTTACTTGTCTTTCGACCAAATGAAATGTGAACTGTTGGTAGAAACCCGCAATCTGCGTCTAATACAAAAGGCGGAACACAACATTTTGAGGGAGGCTTCTAAACGCTATTTCCAAACACGTCGGTGGCGTTTTCAAAAAGCCACCTGTCACAGGCAAATAGTCTCACATTGGCTAGGTGTAGGGCCGAAAAGCAGTATTTAAGTCTTGGGCTGCCCACCACCCATAAGGGCTCTTTTGGGAGGTGACAAGTGGTATCAGAGCAGATTACTGTCTGCCAGGTGTGTGGACTCTCCATGGTCCAGTGGGACCCTCGGTGGAGCCGATCCGTGACGAGGGCGTCACGTGATTGGGTGGAGGAGAATGTCACAGGCAAATAGTCCCACATTGGCTAGGTGTAGGGCCGAAAAACAGTATTTAAGTCCTGGGCTGCCCACCACCCATAAGGGCTCTTTTGGGAGGTGACACACCGCTCTATATAAGCCCTCCCAAGTAGTCTAGTTGGCAAAGGAAGCCACCAAAGATTTGTGGGCAAAATATTTTATCTATCACACACAATACTTGATATTGCATACTCACTCAGTGTATTAAACCGACACATGAATAATCCAATGAGGATTATTTGGAAGCGGTGAATAGAATCCTGAGATACTTGAAAATGACCTCTGAATATCGTTTGCTCTTCAAAAAATTTGAAAACCGCGTGATTGAGATATACGTATATCATATGCTAGTTGGGCAGAAGAGATAATTAATAGGAAAGCAACCACTAGATAATGTTCATACGCCTGCGACAATTTTGCCATATGAAAAGTAAAAAAGTAATTTGTTATCTCTCAAAGTACTGCAAAATATGAATATCGTACTCATGCACAAGGAATATGTGATAGAATGTAGATTCAAGGGTTTTTAAGGGCGATTAGGATGAGATGAAAGACAATTAATTTGTTCAATGATAGACATGTAGTTATTAATATAACCAAAATTCTATGCATCATGACAAAACAGGACACATCGGATTGACCGACACTTCATCTCAGAAAAGATTAACAAAGAAATTGCTCGCGTCAACTATATTCATAAAAGACTTCAAACAGTTGATATTTCGACCAAAGCACTACCAAGGGTCAATCATGATAAATTGAAGTCCAAGCCTAGTTTGTACAATACATACAACCCAGCTTGAACAGGAATACGGAATAGGAAGAAATTTATTTCCTTTCTTCCTGATATATTTTACTAATTGTTTTTCTTTTATTAAATATTTCATTTTTTTCTTATTTTGGAAGAATTCCTATTTAGTTTCTTTTCCTCATTATATGAAAGCCTACATCTTTGATAATTTCATTTTTGTGCATGGTTTAGTCCATGAAAATGTGTATTCCATTTTTAAAAAGTGGCAAGAGGTGCAAAATTTGAATGAGAAACAAAATAGAGATTATCAAGTTGATAAGTCATTAGGAGTGTATTAGAATTAAAAAAAAATATGCTAATATGAACCTCATCGTGATTAGCCATATCCAAAGCATTTGGGGTGTGACTTTATAGAATATCACGATTTATTTAATGAGTTCATCATTTACATTAAATAGCAAATCTTAAACTTATCAAATTATAAATTCAAACATAACGCCCAAAAAGATGCATAAGGCTTCTTTCATTGGAGTTAAGCTGCTTCAAAGTGGTCATTTAATCCGCTTCATCGAAGCTTAGTATTTAATCCTGAATATGTGATTCCTTTCATTTCAGAACACTTTTAAATCTTTCAACAAAACTTCCAAAAACACCAGCGGTCAATCTCTTGACACTGAAATAAAATGCAAGTAGGGTTCTATACTGCAGCTAGAATTCTTTAACTAAGCATGCATAAATTTTGCACTACACAAATAGTGCCGTAGCAGTGCCATGTCTAACAAGAATTTAAACCGTGAAATGTCAATAAGTTCTAAATTCTAACTACTAACATGCCCATTAGTTTTAAGAATCAAACAAAAACTAGGGTCATTTACATAAATAGCATACAATTCTTATGTATTTACATATCTCACACCTAAATTTTCATATCTACACACATAGCACTCAAATAATATAACATTAAAATAACACTCTTACCACTTTTTAAAAATCGAATACACATTTTCATGCATAGGTTTAAAGAATCAAAGCGTTATATATGTAAATATGAAAGTTTAGGTGCGAGACATGTAAATACATGAGAATTGAGTGCTGTGCATGCAAATTTCCCTAAAAACTAAGACAAACTTCTACCATTCTGCAGGAATTATACAACTAATATCATCAACGCATCTTACCTTCTGAGAACATTGATTGCATAGGTCAAGTACCATTTAAGACTGAAACTAAAAATAGAATGTGAACATGTCAAGTCATAAATTATTGGTGAAAAGATAACATCCACGCAAGGTTCTAAACTCTTAAATAGCCACGTTTTAGCCTTCATGCAAATCATGTAATTTGCAGATAATAAAAGGAAAAAACAAAATCAAGCTCCTCTAAAATCGTATCAACAAGCTAATACTCACACGAAAATAATTCCTGGCCAGATTCGCCGAAATATATGTTAGTATCCAATTAAGAAGGAAAAGAAAGTTAAATTCTAATTACTTAACATACAAATTTGTTGCCAACAGTGACACTCCATCACTAATTGCCGCAGAGAAAGGAAAATGACAAAACTAAAAAGCAGGTTGTATGGTAAAATGTAGTGGACATTTTAAAAATTACAGCACACGTTCAAAACAAAAAAAAAAAAAAAACCGTAAAGAAGGATATTAACTATTATTACATATTACAGATTTGTAAAATGGCATAGCTTCAAGCACAATTTATGGAACCATATTTCCTATATTATTGAAAGTAAAACTCACAGAAACTTCTTGGAATTCATCCAAATTGGACGCAACCATTTCCCATTGGTAGGAGGTATTAGGAGGTGCAGGAACAGTTTTTCCCTTGCCCTTCTTAACCTCAACCTTTCTTATTTCCCGATATAATCGGTGACCTATTATTTCATCATCCTCATACCTACAGAAAAGACAAAAAAGATACAAAAATCTCAGCAGTGACTACAAATCTGAGCATTGAGATTGAATCTATAAAAATAATCATGGAAAATTTTGACATTATCAACATATCGTAATAGTATGTTACCAGTATGAAACTCCCAGAGAATCACCACCAATACGATCTTTCCGAAACAAAGAAAGATGGACACCGTGTTTCAAAGAATTGTCAATATAATTTCTAATGTCTTCTTGCTGGAGAGCAAATTTAAACAACAATCAGTTAGTTCATCACTGTGCGCACTGTTCAAACATGAACCCTTCAAGAATATTCAAAAACAAATTCAGAAAGATCATTCAAAACAATTCATAAAATTAAATAAATATAACCTAAACTAATGGAATAACAAAGATGTATCATATCTTCGAAAAATTTATCAAAAATTACTAGGAGCATAGACAAACAAGTTGCCCCTTCTTCCATGGTCACCATGGCTGGCAAGCTTTTCAATTAAATTATTCAAGGTTACTCAGGCTGTCACAGGTAGATACTTAAGAAAAAACAGTGTAAATATATGCTAATAAAATTAGTTAAATAATACAGAACTACTAAGAGATAAACAACCATGTTTCATCATATTTTTATCCAACAAGAGTGTTATGAACTTTAGGAGTCCAAACTTTATCTCTGCAAAGGACCTATTCACTAGAAAAATTTTTGGTTTTCAAAGGTTTGAAGAGATTAGATGTTCAATCCTAGCTTGTAAAAATTCTTCTAAGCTTAGTAATATTTCAGGTTTGAACGCCGATGAACAACAGACAAAAAATTTGCTTATATTAGTTAAGTCAGTAATGCTCAATTTATCATGTTAATTTCATTGTTGCTATTTATTATTTGTTACACTAATTTGAGCAATAATTTCACCATGAAATAAGCAGCCCTATCTACATCTCTATTAATGAAAAAAAAACTAAGCTATGAGCATGATGACCATCAATGAACTAAGATTACAGCTGCATAAATTCTGTTCATCTATTAGCTAGCTCAAGGTCAATAAGTGTATATTAAGCTGCTTGAATGTGATTATTCACAATTTATTTTTATTTAAGGTGACCTTTTTATAATCTATTTTAAACAAAAAAAATTATGTGCATAAATACATCTGAATTGAAAACAAACTTTATTGATATAGTATTCAGAATAATAGCATGAGGTATTAAAATCTCAACAAACATAAAAAAAAAAATCATTCATTCATGTATTCAGAATTGCAATTTGAATGACCATGAAATGACAAAAAAACAAGAAATAGTTACCTCTACACGAATGTCACATAAAGCTTTTAAAATCAACACTCGAATTGGCGGTTCAAGATTCTTGTATACCTCAACCTCAGCCCTAAACATGTTCATAACTCACCTATCAGCTTTAATTGTATTTACCATTCAAAAAAGGTTCGAGCGGTTAGTAAAAAAATACCCGTGTGATGCAGCTATTGGTATCTCCCCATCAGCTACCTACAACAATAATTAAATGTTAGCTAGTAATTTCTCGCAACAAAATCTTAAAAATCATCACTTTCTCTAAGTTTGAGCAATTAAGCCATTGGCTTAAAGCAACATACCCAATGCCACCAATCTTTTATTTTCCTGCACAAAACTGTAACCCAAGTTGACCGACCTAAAGCCACACGGATAACAGGTGGTATAGCCTGAGAATATTGACATCAATGAGTAAGAAACCAATTTTAAAAGGATATAAGCAAACAAATAGAGGAGATAATTCAACAAAAAGCTAAACTAAGGCACCATTGAAATATGGTAAATGAATCCTTAACTTCATCAACAAGAAAAATTGATACCCCAAAACCTCAAGGCTTGCATTTCCAACGCCATTCAAACCCAGCTAAAGTCCTCAGTAACCACACTCAGAGAATATGCTTTCAAATCGTAATAAATCATGATTTGTATAATTTTAGAAACCCAAACACCAATGCATATGCATATAAAATATAGGACAGTCTACCAAGCTAAACCACAAATGTGATCAACTAAATCCAAAGTTCCAATCCAAGGCAGAAGACGCTCACCTTTAGCAGCGGTATGTGAATATCATCCAATGTATTATTCGGCACCAGCAGCGCCGTCTCAAGCTCCTCTGCTGAGAACTCAACCGATATATTCAGCAGCGGTCTGAATACCTACAACAGGAAAGAGCAAAACACAAATAAAGCTAAGAAAACCTAAAAAAAACAGTGAGATCGCCAGTGGGTAGACTCTCACATTCAAAAAGTTGAGCACGGAAGCAAGCTCCCACATGGAGCGGATACCCCACCGCGGAAGCTGAGCCGACGTTGGCGGCTGCGTTAACGAAGTGATGATCCGGCTAGCCGGCTGCTGCTCCTCCTTCTCCCGACGAGTGACAACACCAACGGTGATGGAGCGGGGCTCCAGCGCCGGCAAGGGAGCCTGCAGTCGAGCTGAAGTGCGGGCGGTGCACGCCCGCGCAGGACGTGACTTCCGGGTCGGATTGTTCGCCTGAAATTGATCCTCCGACGAGGATCTGTCCGGCAACTCAGTCGCCGGAGAACCCGCCGCCGACATCACAATTACGGCGGAGGTGGTGAGGGATCACGACAGAAATCGGGATGCGCGCGAGATGAAGAAGAAATATTGAGGGGAAATCGGGACAGCAGCGAAGGGAGACAATCTGGATCGCAACCATATGACGTAGCAGAGATTAGAAGGAGAGAGAAAGAAGCACAGAGACGGCCAAACGGGGGAGAAAAGAGAGCGGAGGGTTGGGGGAGAGAGAAGCGTGAGAGGCCGAAAGGGTTCCGGGGGTGAAGGGCATTATCGGTAACATTGATGAGTAGGTTTTACATTCCTAATTTATTTAAGGGGGAATTGAAAATTTACTTTCAAGGGGGTAATTGAAATTATTACTATTTATAAAATTAATATTTTATCATATTCAATTACTTAATTTAACTCTAGTGTGGAAATTCATAAAAAAAATTTATTTAATCTATTTTAATTTTATGATTTCAAATTAACCTTATTTTGATCACATTTATTTTTCTAAAAATGAAATTTCCATGGACCAAATTTTAACATAAAGAATTAGTAGCACTTCTTATGCATAAATATAAGAAAATTTTGTTAGAAATATTCATAAGGTTTGTTTACATGCATATCACACAATTCTTATATATTTACATATCTTACATCTTAACTTTCATAATTATATGTATAGTGGAGGGCTTGGGTCTGTGGGAATGTGGGTTGGTGGTGGATCTGAGTATGTGTGTGTTGGTGGCATGTAAAGGTTGTGTTGGTGGTTTTGAGTGTTGTGCTTGTTGGTGGCATGTGGAGGTTGTGTTAGTAGTTGTGGGTGGTGTACTTGTTGCTGGCTTTAAGCGTGTGTTGTGCTGGGTTTTGGTATGTGGATTGGTGGTCAATGTGTTAATGGTTGTGGGTGATGGGCTTGTTGGCGGATGTGAAGGCTATGTTGGTGGTTATGGGTGTGTGTGTGTGGGTGGGGGTGTTGAGGGTGGTGGCTATGGGTGTGTGTTTGGTGGGGGATGGTGGCTATGGGTGTTATGCTTCTGGCTCGTGGTACTGTCTCTTTTCTGGTTGACCTAAATTATTGTTGTTTTTCCTTCTCTGTATTAGTATCGTAATGGTAAAAACTGAAGAAGTCGCCTCATCAACAATGTGGGATAAGGAAGTCACCATAATATTTTGCAACATCTATCTTAAAGAGATCGAGCTTGGAATAAACCCACCACCTACTTTTAACAAAAAAGGGTGACAAAATATTACGAAGAAGTTCAATGAAATGAGAGGAAGGGACTGTGATAGGTTACAATTTAAGAACATGTGGGATCATTTGAAAAAGACTATAAGTTATGGAAGGGACTAAAAGGGGGATCCACAGGCTTGGGTTGGGATCCAATATTATGGATGTTTCAGAGGAGTGGTGGATTGAGAAATTAAAGGTAATGAGTAAACCCCTCAAGACTTATTCTTTTCATTCTTTATCCCTCTAATCTATTTTAAGTATTAAACTTTCTTGTATGTTGCAGGCAATGTCAGCCGTCAAGAAATTCAAATTAAGTGGTATTGAGTCGAACCTAAAGGTTAAGTTGGACCGTATGTTCAGTGGGGTTGTTGTGATGGGCACGCACGCCCTCACCCCAAGTGAGCATGGGTTTGCAAGCATACCAGAGGACTTGGAGACCGAGCAAGTAAGTGGGTCAAGTGAAGGACCCAAACTAAACCAAAAGGAACTGGAGTCCACATGCAAGTCAAAGCGATCAAGGGAGGAGAAAAGAAAAAAACAGGAGTCACATTCATTATAAACACAGTAGCAAAATTGGTGGAATTGTGCACAATTCATGCTGGTACCTCACAGGATACCTCCATAGAAGAATTTATTTGAGTTATGCAAACATATCCTGAAGTTATGTCGGATAAGTAGTTTTATCTTAAATCTTTGAAGTTGTTGGAGGACCCGACCAACAGATAGATATTCATGAAAATGCCCCCCCCCCCA